CCCACAGTGAGAGCATCGATTTCCAGGTGGAAGGTGGTCCCGGTCGGGGTTGGCTTGACGCACCTTCCTCTTGGCACGTTTCTCCCTTTCGCCCTCCATTCGTGCCTCTTTGAATTCTACAGCACTGATGGTCACAGCTGACCTCCAGCTGGAGCACTCAAGGGCCAGGGCTTCCCAGTTCTCAGTGTCTATGCCAGAGTGTTTAAGGTAGGCTTTGAGCCCATCTTTCAATCTCTTTTCCTGCCCAACAACATTCCGTTTTCCGTTCTTGAGTTCGGAGTAGAGCAACTGCGTTGGGAGACAGTGATCGGGCATCCGGTCCAGCGGAGTTGATGGCGGAGGAACATCGCTTCAATGCTGGTGGTCTTTGCTTCTTCCAGCATGCTGACATTTATCCCCCTGTCTTCCCAAGAGATTTGGAGGATTTTTCGGAGGCAACGCTGATGGAATCATTCTAAGAGTTGCATGTGATGCCTGTAGACAGTCCATGTTTCACAGGCGTATAGCAGGGTTGGGAGGACAATAGCTTTATAAACAAGCTCCTTGATATCCCTACGGATGTGCCGGTCCTCAAACACTCTCTGCTTCATTCGGAAAAATGCTGCACTTGCAGAGCTCAGGCGGTGTTGTATTTCAGTGTCAATGTTGACTTTTGTGGAGAGGTGGCTGCCAAGGGAGCGGAAATGGTCAACATTTTCTAATGTTACACCATTAACATTAGTACCTGGCTCACTTTGCAGGGATGTCGCAAGGATAGAAATGGGCCAAATTCCCAGAGTGAAGGCTCTCCTTCGGGTAGAAAAGGGAATTTCACAGATGGTGCCTTTTGTTTAGCGAGTGGCCATACAATCCCTCTCCTTTCTCCAATTTGGACTCTGGTGACCAATTTGGGGTCCGTCCATGCCAGGCCTGGGCAAACTTGGGCCTTCCCTCCAGGTGTTTTGGACTTCAACTCCCACAATTCCTAACAGCCTCAGGCCTTTCCCCCTTTCCCCTCAGCTGCTTAAGCTATATATTTGTGTTCCTATATTTAAACAAATGACCAGCCATTGCCAGAGGTGACAGAGTTTCATCTATGCTGACGATTGTGCCATCACCACTCAAGCAAGCAAGCTTTGATTCCTCCCCAACCAGAAGGGTGTGTGTGTGTGCGTGCGCGTGCGTGCATGTATGTATATTTATGTGTGTGTGTATTTACATATCAGGTATGGACAAACTTGGGCCCTCCGGGTATTTTGGACTCCAATTCCCACAATTCCTAACAGCTTCAGGCCCTTTCCTCCTCCCCCCCACCACACTGCTTAAGCTATATATTTCTACCCAGTGCTGATTATTTACACAAATGACCAGCCACTGCCAGGAGTGACAAAGTTCATCTATGCTGATGATCGTGCCATCACCATTCAAGCAAGAAGCTTCGATTCCTCCCAACCAGAAGGATATGTGTGTGTGCATGTATGTATATTTATGTGTGTGTATGTGTATAGCAAATATGGGCAAACTTGGGCCCTGCAGGTGTTTTGGACTTCAAGTCCCACAATTCCTAACAGCCTTAGGACCTTTCAGCCGTTTAAGCTCATTCTGCCAAGAAGCAGGAAAATCGCATTCAACCCCCCTCCCGGCAGATGGCCCTCCAGCCTCTGCTTAAAAGCCTCCAAAGAAGGAGCCTTCACCACACTCCAGGGCAGAGAGTTCCACTGCTGAACAGCTCTCGCCGTTAGGAAGTTCCTTCTCATGTTCAGGTGGAATCTGAACATGAGAGGTGCAAACTCTCCCCAATTGGGGCCCACTTGAAGAATCATAAGAGTTGGAAGAGACCTCGTGGGCCATCCTGTCAAACCATCATCCAGTCAATGGGATTTTTAGTACAGCATTGATGGGGTTACCATACCCAACCAGTCAATGGGATTTGTAGTACAGCATTGATGGGGTTGCCATACCCAACCAGCCAATGGGATTTGTAATACAGCATTGATGGGGTTGCCATACCCAACCAGTCAATGGGATTTGTAGTACAGCATTGATGGGGTTGCCATACCCAACCAGTCAATGGGATTTGTAGTACAGCATTGATGGGGTTACCATACCCAACCAGTCAATGGGATTTGTAGTACAGCATTGATGGGGTTGCCATAAATCAAGCAGATAACATCCAATTTGCTATTTCTAGTAGCAGTAGGTTGAACGCAGATAAACACACAGACACACACACACATACTTGTTTAGTTTTTCTGGTGTGATTATGGTATTCCCTCCCCCTGAGTAGAAATTACCATAAAAAGATTGAAAATCTCATGAGGAGGTTTAAACCACTGAGGAAGCAAGGATTTGGTAAGATTGTTTTCCATAGGATTACTTTGAAAGCATCTTGCTTATTTGGAGATAACAGATAAAGATATAGAGAAGTTCTGTTTAATAATAATAATAATAATAATAATAATAATAATAATAATAATAATAATGTAATTTAATAATAATAATAATAATAATAATAATAATCAATGTCATCAAAGCCAGAATTGAAAAATTGATGACAGATTCCAAATGGAAGGAAGCAGATGAAATGATGGATCACATCCTCAGCTGCTGCAAGAAGATTGTGCAGACAGACTATAGGCAGAGGCATAATCCTGTTGCTCAGATGTGCCACAAATTCCATCTGCCTGTGACAAAGAACTGGTGGGATCACAAGTCTGAATAAGTTACGAAAAATTAACACATCAAACTACTCTGGGACTTCCGAATTCAGACTGACGGGTTTTTGGAGCACAAGACTCCTGACCTCACATTCATGGAAAAAAAACATAATATGGATTGTCGATGTTGCAATCCCAGGTGACAGCAGGATTGAGTAGTAACTGGAAAAGCTGACACAATATGAGGATTTAAAGATCAAAACTGCAAAGACTATGGCACAAGCCAGTAAAGGTGGTCCCAGTGGTGATAGACACATTGGGTGCAGTGCCTAAAGACCTTGGCCTGCACTTAAAAACAACTGGCGTTGACAAAATTACCATCTGTCAGCTACAAAAGGATACCCTACTCGGATATGCACGCTTTATTTGCCAGTACATCACATAGTCCTAGTAACTTGGGAAGTGTCCGACGTGTGATCCAATGCAAAAGACAGCGTAGTGATCCTGTTTGTTGTGTACTCATCTCGCTGTGTACCAAATAAATAATAATAATGATAATAATAATAATGTTTACTTACACCCCGCTTTCTCTCTCTACAAAAAAACCCCCCAAAAACTCAAGGCAGCTTACAGTAAAACAGAATGAAATACAATTTAAAAATATACAAACAATAAAACAGAATGAAACACGAACAGTATTAAAAAAGTAAAGTTAAACTCCTTAAAGGCTGACTAAAAATGTATTCAAGGCAGTGGAACCTTTTAAAGAGGAAACAGAAGTCATTTCACGAAGGTTTGCTTTAACATGAACAGTTTTATTTGTTGAGAAGTAAATGTCAGTAGGGAACATGATTTTTTGGGAAACTCTGATCTCTTTTTTGGACCCAACTGAGCCCCAAAACCATCTTGGCTAATGATCAAGGAAGCTAAAGTCCCAAAGAGCTGGAGAACTAAAGACAGATCATTCTCCTCTTCTGTTTGACTTTAGGTTCACTTTATTGTGTTGAGCGGAAACATCAGCACTGGCAAAACTATGGCACTCTTGATACTGGGTTGCTGTGAGTTTTCCAGGATGTATGGCCATGTTCCAGAAGCATTCTCTTCTGATGTTTCGCGCACATCTATGGCATTCTCAGAGGTTGTGAGGTTTGTTGAAAACTAGACAAAGGAGGTTTATATATCTGTGGAATGATGTCCAGGGTGGGAGAAAGAACTCTTGTCTGCTTGAGGCAAGTGTGAATGTTGCAATTGGCCAGCTTGATTAGCACTGAATGGCCTTTCAACTTCAAAGCCTGGCTGCCTGGGGGAATCCTTTGTTGGGAGATGATAACTGGCATCAAGCAGACAAGAGTCCTTTCTCCCACCCTGGACATCATTCCACGGATATATAAACCTCACTTGACTAGTTTCCAACAGACCTCACAACCTCTGATGACTGCCTTAGGTGTGGGCAGAATGTCAGGAGAGAATGCTTCTGGAACATGGCCATACAGCCCAGAAAACTCAAGCAACCCAGTGATTCCGGCCATGAAAACCTTCGACATTCTGGTAACGTAGCCGAGAGGCTGAAGTTTCGTCATGGACACTTACAATTTTCTCAAACTTGCTCTACAAATTTTGAGAAACTTCTACAAAAGGAAATAACTCTTTTGTGTTTGGAAATGATCATTGTGTCTGATGGGTTTTATCGAACTCATTCTGCACAGTTTAAAGGACAGAACTCTTTTGTGTTCAATTCCACTTGACACATATGGTTTTCTCGAACCCATTCTACAAAGTCTGGGAAATTTCTCTGGAAGGAAAACAATTTTTTTGCCGTTTGATAATTAGCATTGAGATTTATAGTTTTCCTGAACTTTTGGAAACTTCTGAAGGAGGAAAGCACTGTTTGAGGACTATCACTGAGGTTTATAGTTTTCCTGACTTTGGAAACTTCTAAGGAAGGAAAGAACTTCTTTGTGTTCCATAATTAGCATTGAGATTTATAGTTTTTCTCAACTTTTAGAAACTTCTGCAGGAGGAAAAAAAACTATTTTGTGTTTGAGGACTATCATTGAGATTTATAGTTTTCCTGACTTTTGGAAACTTCTAAGGAAGGAACTTCTTTGCMTTCGATAATTAGCATTGAGAMTTATAGTTTTCCTGAACTTTTAGAAACTTCTGCAAGAGGGAAGAACTATTTTGTGTTTGAGGACTATCARTGAGATGTATAGTTTTCCTGACTTTTGAAAACTTCTAAGGAAGGAAAGAACTTCTTTGCGTTCAATAATTAGCATTGAGATTTATAGTTTTCCTGAACTTTTAGAAACTTCTGCAGGAGGAAAAAACTATTTTGTGTTTGAGAGCTATCACTGATACTTATAGTTTTCCTGAACTTTTGGAAGCTTCTAAGGAAGGAAAGAACTTCTTTGCGTTCAATAATTAGCATTGAGATTTATAGTTTTCCTGAACTTTTAGAAACTTCTGCAGGAGGAAAGCACTATTTTGTGTTTGATAGTTTTCTTGAACTTTTGGAAACTTCTAAGGAAGGAAAGAACTTCTTTGTGTTCGATAATTAGCACTGAGATTTATAGTTTTTCTGAACCTTTAGAAACTTCTGCAAGAGGAAAGAACTATTTTGTGTTTGATAGTTTTCCTGACTTTTGAAAACTTCTAAGGAAGGAAATAACTTCTTTGCATTCGATAATTAGCATTGAGATTTATAGTTTTTCTCAACTTTTAGAAAATTCTGCAAGAAGAAAGAACTATTTTGTGTTTGATAGCTTTCCTGACTTTTGGAAACTTCTAAGGAAGGAAAGAACTTCTTTGTGTTCCATAATTAGCAATGAGATTTATAGTTTTTCTCAACTTTTAGAAACTTCTGCAAGAGGAAACAACTGTTTTGTGTTTGAGGACTATCATTGAGTTTTCCTGACTTTTGGAACCTTCTAAGGAAGGAAAGAACTTCTCTGTGGTCGATAATTAGCATTGATATTTATAGTTTTCCTGAACTTTTAGAAACTTCTGCAGGAGGAAAAAACTATTTTATGTTTGAGGACTATCGAGACTTGTAGTTTTCCTGAACTTTTGGAAGCTTTTAAGGAAGGAAAGAACTTCTTTGCGTTCAATAATTAGCATTGAGATTTATAGTTTTCCTGAACTTTTAGAAACTTCTGCAGGAGGAAAAAACTATTTTGTGTTTGAGGATTATCACTGAGACTTATAATTTTCCTGAACTTTAAGAAATTTCTACAGGAGGAAAAAACTATTTTATGTTTGAGGACTATCGAGACGTATAGTTTTCCTGAACTTTTGGAAGCTTCTAAGGAAGGAAAGAACTTCTTTGCGTTCGATAATTAGCATTGAGATTTATCGTTTTTCTGAATTTTTAGAAACTTCTGCAGGAGGAAAAAAACTATTTTATGTTTGAGGATTATCATTGAGACTTATAGTTTTCCTGACTTTTGGAAAATTCTAAGGAAGGAAAGAACTTCTTTGCGGTCGATAATTAGCATTGACATTTATAGCTTTCCTGAACTTTTAGAAACTTCTGCAGGAGGACTATCTTGTGTTTGAGGACTATCACTGAGACTTATAGTTTTCCTGAACTTTTGGAAACTTCTGAGGAAGGAAAGAACGACTTGGGAAATTTCTAGGAAAGGGAGCTGAGACCTGGTTGTTACGGCTTGGCCATGGATTCGACCTCTTTGCTGCCAAAAAATGGGAATGCATTCCATGAAACCGGCGACATTGTTCTCTCTTCCAGCATTCAGTGTGCTTTGAGGCAGGTTTCATGGCGGCCGAGGAAGGAGAGAATGGGGTAAATAAAGGAGATCCTTCCTTTGCTTTGCTCCTCTTTGTGTCGTTCCGTGTCCCGCTTGTCCCCAATGTCCTGTCTGACTGCCATTTACTTCTTGACCACTTGGATGACATCTTCGTGCTCCATCAAGTGGTTGAGCCCCACTCGCTGGGGGCTGTACTTGGTGCTGGTGCCCTTGGGGTCCAAAGAGACGAAGGTTAGCCAAACACCAAAACTCGCTTTTTGCTGGACTGTAATGCCCAACATCTTCCACCCAACAAAATTCCTTATGCTTGGACAGACCAGGGACAGATGATAATGTAAGGACTGGAGATGATGAAAACCCCCCTATTAAAACCTCAAATATTACACTCAAAACTTCATGCCTTAATATGTTCTCCTCTACTTTCCTTCTCCATTTTGAGAGGAGATGCAGAGGAAAAGGGAAGTACTGGGAGATAGTGGGTGTCTGGGGATGTGCTCATGAATTTGGGGGACGTCTTACACAGTTTTGGGACCAGGAGAGCATGGAAAATCTATTTAATTCTTTAAAATATACTAGAGGAAGACTACAACCCCCAGACTCCACCTTCCAGTGCGGCTGGGGAAACCACAACAACCTTAGTATTACCTACTGAAAGGGTAGGTGATATTATTATTATTATTAGTAGTAGTATATAATGACCAGCACCTGTAGTAGTAGTAGTAGTAGTAGTAGTAGTAGTAGTAGTAATGTTTTAGTTTACAATATCTTATTGGATTGTTCTTTATTATTTTCATCTCGATGTTTAATACTGTTGTTTTTGTGCATTATTTTGTATTATTTTAATGGTTCTTGTGGGGTTTTTTTGGGCTATAGGGCCATGTTCTAGAGGCATTTCTCCTGACGTTTCGCCTGCATCTAACTTCAGGAGAAATGCCTCTAGAACATGGCCCTATAGCCCAAAAAAACCCCACAAGAACCTAGTGATTCTAGCCATGAAAGCCTTCGACAATACATTATTTTAATGTGTTTGTATTCATTTGAGGCACTGAATGTTTGCCTTTTTGTCTTGTGTCTCTAAACAGCCTTGAGTCCCTTTGGGGAGAGAGGGTAGTCTAGAAATAAAGTTTTATTATTATTTATTATTAAAGGTAAAGATTTCCCCTGACATTAAGTCTAGTCGTGTCAGACTCTGACAGGAGGTGCTCATCTCCATTCCTAAGCTGAAGAGCTGGCGTTGTCTGTAGACACCTCCACGGTCATGTGGCCAGCATGACTGCATGGACCGCACCATTTATTTATTTGTTTACAACAGGGGTCCTCAAACTTTTTAAACAGAGGGTCAGGTCACAGTCCCTCGAACTGTTGGAGGGCTGGATTATAATTTGGAAAAAAAGAAGAATTAATTCCTATGTACACTTCACATATCTTATTGTAGTGCAAAAAACATTTAAAAACAATATAATTAAAATTAAGAACAAATTTAACAAATATAAACTTATTAGTATTTCAATGGGAAGAGTGGGCCTGCTTTTGGCTGATGAGATAGGATTGTTGTTGTTGTGTGCTTTCAAGTCATTTCAGACTTAGGTTGACCCTGAGCGAGGGCCGGGTAAATGACCTTAGAGGGCTGTATCCAGCCCCCGGGCCTTAGTTTGAGGACCCCTGGTTTACAACATTTCTACTTCGCCCTTCTCAACCCCCGAAGGGGGACTCGCAGAAGTGGTACCTATTGATCTACTCACACTTACATGTTTTGGAACTGCTAAGTTGTCAGAAGCTGGGGCTAACAGTGGGAACTCACCCTGCTCTCTGGATTCAATCTGCTGACCTTTTGGTCAGCAAGTTCAGCAGTTCAGTGGTTTAACCCACTGTACTATCAGGGCCCCATTATTATTATTATTAGTATTTTTATTATTATTAGTAATAATAATAATAATAATAATATAGGGCGAAACAATTCAACAAAACCTCCCTCTGCCCGTTATTCCCCACATACAAATATGCAGTCGCACTAACAGCTGTTTTCCTTGGTTGTCCTTCACAAAATGGCAACCAGGAGTGACACTGGGCCACCATTCTGAGCCGTTAATTGTCATGAATTTGTGGATCTCCTTAGATCAGTGGTTCCCAATCTGTGATCTGTGGACCACCAGTGGTTCACAAGAACTAAAATATGGTCCACAGCGTCACTGTTACTACACTGTTGCAACAAGAGCGACTGGTCTCATGAAACCCTTTGATAGTGCCAAAGCTTATTAAATATAGTTTTCTGAGGGCGAGCAGATGGTGACTACTGGATGGCATATGTTCTGGATCAGAAACGAAAGCTGATGTGGTCTATCCAATGCAATTTTCTGAATCAACACCCAAAATAACCAAACCGAATCTAAAGATGACCAAACACGGATTCATAACCCTTTTGGTATTAATGTTGGAGAGTGGTCCCTGGTCAAAGTGGTCCCTGGTAAAAAAAAAAAAGGTTGGGAACCACTGTCTTAGACAGACTTGGGGCTAAAGTTGCCACAGATTTCAACCAATTTGTTTTCAAAACAAAAATGGAGGATGGTTGAGGGCTTTGAAGGCAACAAGAGTGGAGTTTGGGGGAATGCATTTGGCCCTTAGTGTGTGCTTTGCTTTTGCCAAGGGAAACTTACCCAAACCAGGGCGTACTTGAACTGGCTGGCTAACGTCCGATGAATACTATGGCACTAGAAAGAAGGAGGGAAAGAAAGGAAGTGCAAAGGTAAGCTGGGAGACTTTTGTGGCTTCGGAAAGCTTGGCTTCAGCCAAGCAGGAATCATTCAGGATTAGGGATGTTCAGCAACTGGAACTGACACAACTGGGATGGATGGAGAACTGGTTTCACTCCATATATAGAGACTCATCCTGCACTTACCACATGCTCTACGGAGGCTCCTTTCCGGAGAATGATGGCGTCAGAGAAATCTGGTCTCTCTATAAGAGAAGAAAGAAATATAATAATTATAATAATACATTTTATTTATTACCTGCCTCTTCCAATGGCTCGAGGCAGGGACCAACAAAGTCAAAAACATATGAACATAAATAATAATAATAATAATAATAATAATAATAATAACAATACATTTTATTTATTATCCGCCTCTTGCAATGGCTCAAGGCAGGGTCCAATAAAGTCAAAAACATATGAACAGAAAATAATAATAATAATAAATTTTATTGATTACCCGCCTCTTCCAATAGCTCAAGGCAGGGTCCATCAAAGTCAAAAGCATATGAACATAAAATATAATAATAATAATAATAATAATAATAATACATTTTATTGATTACCCGCCTCTTCCAGTTGTTCAAGGCAAGGTCCAACAAAGTCAAAAAACTATGAACATAATAATAATAATAATAATAATAATAATAATAATCTATATAAATAAAAATGTAATGTTCATTTGCGGGATTAACAGAACTCAAAAATCACTGGGGAAGTTGACATCATATTTGGACACAATGCACCTAACCACCCAATGTATGTCCTTCACTCATAAAAACACTGAAAAACACAGCAGAAGGGACTTAAAAGCTCCCAAAAGCTAATGACAAAAAGCTAAATGACAATACAGAAAAAAGGAAGAAAGAGAGGGAAGGGGAAAAAAGAAAGAAAGAAAGAAAAGAAAGAGGGAGGGAGGGAAAGAAAGAAAGAAAGAAGGAAAGGGAGAAGGAAGCATGGAAGCAAAGAGAGAAGGAAGGAAAGAGGTAGAGAAGGAAGAAAGGAGAGAAAGTTAGAGAAGGAAAGAAGGAGAGAAGGAAAGAAAAAAGGGAAAGAAGGAAGGAAAGAGGGAGCGAAGGAAGGGGGAAGATGTAGAGAAAGAGGGAGGGAAGGAAAGAGAGAGGAAGAGAAAGGAAAAGGGGGGAAGAAAGTTAAATGACAATACAGAAAAAGGGAAGAAAGAGGGAGGGAAGGGGAGAAAAAAGAAAGAAAGAGGACCCGATCCAGTAATTCAGAACAAGACTTAATCTGTTCTCTGAATACCATTATGTTTTATACTCTGATGCCCTGGGATTCTCCAGAATAATATTATTTATTTATTTATTTATTTATTTATTTATTTATTTATTTATTTATTTATTTATACCTCGCCACCATCTCCCCAAGGGGACTCGGGGCAGCTTACATGAGACCAAGCCCAACAATACAAAAATGCAAATATACAACATAAAGATACAACAATAAAATACAAGAAAATAAGATAAAATACAAGAAACAGTATAAAAAACACATCACAACAATATAAAATAACAATATTTGAACACAGAATGTTGATCACCGTGGGCAGGGCTGGTTGCAAAGATTAAAAGTTTAAAACACTGGAGCAATGTAATGTATCTGGACAGGGGATCCAAGGGATGAAATGGGTTTTAATTGCACTAACAGGTAAAATAAAGTGCTTCCAGGGGCATTTTATGCAGGTACATTGATAAAACCACAAAAACATTAAAAACTTGCACTAAAAACAGATACATAATGGAAATATAGTGGCACTAGAATGTCCCCAGACATCATTGAACTCCCAGCACTTCCCTTTTCCTCTCCATCCTCTCTCAAAACTCATGATTGAAAGTTGACTGGGTCAGCCTTACTAGAAGAGAGGGATCTTCCAAATCTAACCATCTATTTTATCCTCCCTTTCCCTAACATTTCCATGTTGTTGTTGTTTATTCAGTCAGTCACTTCCGACTCTTTGTGACCTCCAGGACCAGCCCAGGCCAGAGCTCCCTGTCGGCCGTGGCCACCCCCAGCTCCTTCAAAGTCAAGTCAGTCACTTCATGGATACCGTCTATCCACCTTGTCTTCCTTTTTCCTTCCATCTTCCCCAGCATCATTCTCTTCTCCAAGCTTTCCTGTCTTCTCATGATGTGGCCAAAATACTTCATCTTTGCCTCTAATATCCTTTCCTACAGTGAGGAGACAGGCTTTTTTCCCTGGAGTTTAGATTGGTTGGATCTTCTTGCGATCCAAGGCACTCTCAGCATTTTCCTCCAACGCCACAGTTCAAAAGCACCTCTCTTCCTTCACTCAGCCTTCTTTGTGGTCCAGCTCTTTCATCCATACGTTACTATGGTTAATATCATTGCTTTAACTATGCAGATCTTCGTTGCCAGTGTGATGTTGCTACTCTTCACTATTTTATCAAGATTGGTCATTGCTCTCCTCCCAAGAAGTAAATGTCTCTTGATTTCCCCGGCTGCAGTCATCTTTGCACTGAGAAATTCAAAGTGTGTCTCTGCCTTCACATTTTCTCCCTCTATTTGACAGTTATCAATCAGTCTGGTTGCCATCATCTTAGCTTTTTGGATGTTTAACTGCAACCCAGCTTTTGCACTTTCTTCTCATAGAATCCTAGAGTTGGAAGAGACCTTGTGGGCCATCCAGTCCAACCTCTTTCTGCCAAGAAGCAGGAAAATCACATTCAAAGCTCCCATGACAGATGGCCATCCAGCCTCTGCTTTAAAGCCTCCAAAGAAGGAGCTTCCACTACACTCCAAGGCAGAGAGTTCCACTGCTGAACAGCTCTCAGTTAGGAAGTTGTTCCTAATGTTCAGGTGGAATCTCCTTTCCTGTAGTTTGAAGCCATCATTCCGCGTCCTAGTCTCCAGGGCAGCAGAAAACAAGCTTGCTCCCTCCTCAAATGACTTCCCCTCACATATTTATACATGGCCATCATGACTCCCCTCAGCCTTCTCTTCTGAAGGCTAATCATGCCCAGCTCTTTAAGCCGCTCCTCATCGGGCTTGTTCTCCAGACCCTTGATCATTTTGGTTGCCCAACTCTGGACACATTCCACCTTTCAACATCTCCTTTCAATTGTGGTGCCCAGAATTGGACACAGTATTCCAGATGTGGTCTGACCAAGGCAGAAGAGAGGGCTAGCATGACTTCTTTCATCTTGGTTAGAAGGTTCCTCCTCACTTCCAGCCCTTAAAGTGGTATCATCTGCATATCTAAGGTTGTTAATGTTTCTTCCAGACATTTTAACTCCAGCCTTGGATTCTTCAAGCCCTGCACGTCGCATGATGTGTTCTGCATGCGAGTTGAATAGGGAGGGTGAGAGTAGACAGCCCTGCCGTGCTCCGTTCCCAATCTTGAACCCGTCGGTTGTTCCATGATCTTTTCTTACCATTGCCACTTGGTTGTTCTACAGATTCCTCAGGAGACAGACAAGGTGGCTTGGTCTCCCCATATGTACCACCAAGAACTTGCCACAATTTATTATAATCCACACAGTCGAAGGCTTCAGAACAGTCAATAAAACAGAAATAAAACATTTCTATAATTTGGTACTTCACTTACGGCCCCTTTTCTTCGTGAAGATGCAGGTCAGGGCCAGGCATTCCCACAGCTGCTCCAGCAAGTAGTCCAAGTTCAGCTTCATTCCGCAACTACGGAGGAATCACAAAATGGGAAACTGAGAGGTTCACATCCCAAATATCCCATTGTATAACACCCTAGGAAAGAAGGGCCACCTGCACAAAGGCAACAAGATGGAGAGGTTTGTTTTCGGAGGGGCTCCTCTGCCCTTACCTAATGACAACACTGTGGGGTTTTCGGGCGAGACGGTCTACCTCCTCCATGGAGATCTGGTCTATTTTGTTGTAAACCTACAGAAGGGAAGAAAAAAAAAAGAAGAGAAATGCGGTCCAAAAATAAAAGCAGCTCTTCTCTTCCATAATAAGCTCAATAGAGATTGCAGAGAAAGGGATCTGTCTCATTTGATGCTATAGCAAAACCACGGGGCTAATGATTGCCCTTTTGACTTTTTCCAAAATGGGAAAAAATACAGAAGAAAAACCATATATAAGAGTGTCACTCCAATCTACAAATGATTGAGAATTAAGAAAAAGGACATTTTCTTGTGGAATCTTCCTTCCACTGCTCGCCATTGACTGTGAGATATCTTCCTTGACATTTTTATCTATATAAATGAACATGTAATGTTAGTTTGTGGGATTAACATAACTCAAAAACCACTGGACGAATTGACACCAAATTTGGACACAAGACACCTATCTGGCCAATGAGTGACCATCACTCATAAAAACACTGAAAAACACAGCAGAAGGGACTTAAAAAGCAAAAAAAAGCAAAAAGATGTTACAGCGCATGTACAAAAACGATCCGCCTAGCAATAAAACCCACACACAAAAGCATATCCACACTCTCTTCCAGACTACAGCTCCCAGCATCCCCTAGTCCAGGCCCTTTAGGAGAGGAGGATGATCCAAATGCACTGCTTCCAAGCTGCAAGCTTTCTTCTCCTTGGATTTCTTTGAGAGCATCCCAATCCCTGCATATTTCCAATTTCCTATTCCTGGACTGCAACTCCCAGCAACCCTCCGGATTGATTGATTAGATAGAGATAGATAGGTAAATAAATTAATCAATCAGGAGGACTGCTGGGAATTGCAGTTCAAGAATAGGAAGAGAACGAAGAGAGGGAGGAAGGGGGAAGGGAAATAAAAGGGGGAAAGGAAGGAAGGGAAAAGGAAGAGAAGGAGGAAGGAAAGAAAAAAGGGAAAGGAAGGAGAGAAAGAAAGAAGGAGAGAAAGAGGAAGGGAAGGTTGGCCACAGCAACGCCTGGCGGGTACAGCTAGTATAAAGATAAAAACTTCAAGTTCTCAAGTTAATGGAAAAGCAGGATGTCCTCAACTTTAGCAAGGATTTAAAGGGATCTAAGAGACAGGAAAAAGACACAAATGGGGTTTCATTGTGTGTTTTTGGGTCCTTTCCAAATTATGGTGACATTATCATGAGGTTTTCTGAGGCCAAGAGTGTAGCTTGCCCAAACTCAACTCGAACACGGCTCTAGAAAGTTGTATTTAGAACCCATAACAAACCTCTGAGGATGCCTGCCATAGAGGTGGGTGAAACATCAGGAGAGAATACTTCTGGAACATGGCCATACAGCCCAGACAACTCACAGCAACCCAATTCTTTTTCTGTGCTATAACTCTGAGAGCCTTTCAGCTGGCGCTACGGGCATGTTAGCAGTTGCAGGGCAAAAGAAGACCTTGGCCAAGTTCTGAGAGGTTTCCAAGAGGGATCGTATTGGCTCAATTAGTTAGGACAAAGCTCATAACCCAAAAGACTCACGTAAAGGCAAGGCATGTAGACGCGGTTGCCGACAATCACGTCGATGAATTCGTCCGGCGAACAGTCCTCCCTGAACAGCACTTCCGCATTGAAGATTTCTCAGGTCAAAAGAGTTAAGTTCAAACACTTCAGACATTGGCTGAACTCTTGTTGCAGAGTGCAAAAACACCATCATGGTTACGTGCCTATTAACTGCTTTTTTTGGCATTATATTCTAAACCAGGGGTGCTCAGACTATTGAAGCAAAGGGCCTAAGCTTGGGGTCCCCTGTTCTAAACTGATTCGAAATGTTCTTGACAATTTTAATTCAATTTTAATATTTTTTTTGTCTGATTTAATTTTCATGTTGACTTTTTGTATGTTTCACTGGTATTTAGCACAAATGGTTAATCACCAGCAGCAATATATCTAACCAATCAAAAGGCTGGCAGTTCGAAGCCTGGGTCAGGGTAAGCACCAGACCTTCAGCCCAGCTTACTGTCCACCTAAGCAGTTCGAAAACAGCTGTGAATAGAAAAATTAGGCACCGCTTAAGCAGGGAGGTATTTTACGGCACCATAAAAGAAATATCAGAAAATATCAATGATCAAAGGAAAGAGGAAGTCTGTGATCAAGGGCTCTTCGTCATAGAGGATGGAGCAACATCACCTCCATGTGACAGGAATCGAGCACAGCCTCCAGGATGCCGAAGTTGGCAAAATGGTAATATAATACCTGTATCTGTTGTGTGTCTTGTCTGTTTAATGGCACTGAATGTTTGCCGTGTATGTGTTCTGTGATCCGCCCTGAGTTCCCTTCGGGGTGAGAAGGGCAGGATATAAATGCTGTAAATAAATAAAATACATAAACTCTTTTATTTTTCATCTATACACTTGAATCCTACTTTTGGGGGGAGAAAGTGGGATTTAAATTTGACAATAATAATGATGGATGACCATTGTATTCATGACTTGTGTCGATATGTGAAACTGCGCATAACAGTATTTCTCATCCAAGAAGACTGTTATAGAGTCAAGCTAGAGGACCTAGAGAATGCCTAGGGAGAGTATAGTTCATCAGACATGGCTAAAAGAAAATGTGAGTACAGGGGTCACACTGCAACAACAAGAACAATATAAAGTAGTAATTAATAAGAAATCATGATAAAATAATAGTGATAATAATAGTAATAATAGTAAAAAAAAAAGGGGTCCCCTGGTGGCGCAGCAGGTTAAACCGCTGAGCTGCTGAACTTAGGCCCAGCTCCTGCCAACCTAGCAGTTTGAAGACATGCAAATGTGAGTAGATCAATAGGTACTACATTGGTMGGAAGGTAACGGTGCTCCATGCAGTCATACTGGCCACAATGTCAGAAYTATTAAAAATTAACTAGATACTTTTAATTACAAAAATGTGAGTCAAGCACTGAAAGGGTTAAATGGATGCAATGACTCAGCAAAAACTGCAGTTCAATATTAGCAGGTGTGCCTGTAGCTTAGTAGCCCTCAGTCTGAGGGAGGCCTCAATGTGTTAGTAGGCCTCAGTCTGAGGTAGCCCTCAGTGTGAGGTAGGCCTCAGTGTTAGTTTGCCTCAGTCTGAGAGAGGCCTTAGTGGGAGAAAGTGTGAGGTAGGCCTCAGTGTTAGTTTGCCTCAGTTTGATAGAGGCCTTAGTGGGAGAAAGGRCTCAGTGTGAGGTAGGCCTCAGTGTTAGTTTGCCTTAGTCTGAGAGAGGCCTCAGTCTGAGAGAGGCCTCAGTGTGAGGTAGGCCTCAGTGTTAGTTTGRCTCAGTCTGAGAGAGGCCTTAGTGGGAGAAAGGRCTCAGTGTGAGGTAGGCCTCAGTGTTAGTAGGCCTCCGTATGAGAAGGCCTTATTTGTGAAGCTCCAGCGTGAAGGCTGAACTTTGTTTTTGTAAATAGTGCAACCATATTATTTTGCTATAAAGAAAAGCCTCCTACGGAAGAGATAACATCGTTCTGTGTGTTTTTGTTCTTTTTATCACTTTTTGGCTACTCGTGCTGGGTCATGCTGCTCCTAATAAGTTACTCTGCTGTACATTTATGAGGGTCTTTTGTTAGTAAGCCCACTTGCCCAACACACATGACTTAGGACAGTGCTTCTGAACCTGTGGGTCCCCAGATATTTTGGCCGTCAACTCTCAGAAATCCCAACAGTTGATAAACTGACTGGGATTTCTGGGAGTTGTAGGCCAAAACACCTGGGGATCCACAGGTTGAGAACCACTGACCTAGTAGGTACCTATAGACACTGCTGGCTTAGAAATGGAGATAAGCACCATCCCCCAGAGTCGGACACGACTAGACTTACTGTCAAAGGGAAACCTTTACCAATAATAATAATAATAATAATAATGTGGTGCTTTTTTTCTTCTTGACTACTTTTGTTTCTTTTTTCATAGATTCAGATCTGACACGTCTCCAAAGGTACTAAATCTCCCCCAAATGGTGAAATCTGGATCCCATTATACCCACCATCACACACTTCTGAGCCATTTTGAGGAGTTAGCTGCCCTAGTTTGCTCAGCATCAGCCAGGTCCATACATAGGTCCATATGACCTATGACTATTTCTGCCTTAAACAACAGGCAGAACTCTGAGATGGAAGCATCACCCACATTACCCAAAGGATACTGTATTCATGGAGGATGAGCTGTACCAGTTTCTCGGAGCACTGGGTCAGGGTCACTGTGGAGTTGAAAGAGATGCCTCCGCCTTTCTTGGGCTGAAAGGAGAGAAAGGTAAGGCCATCATTCTACATCACCTCAGAAGAGTTCGGAATCAGAGCTCATCGCTTCAAAACACAGTAAGACCATATTGGACAACACACCTATCGACAGACCTCCCATTGATGGGAATGAAAATCTATCATCATCCAAAAGACCCCAAGTTTCACCTCCCTGCTTTAACAAGCACGTTCAGGACTTGAACGCAGCACTTTCTGCATGCAAAGGAAGTGCCATAAAATTGTGGCCCGGTTCCTGTATCAGAGGATGCCCAGAACTCACCTTGAAATAAATATTGGGCTTGCATTTGTTCAACCGGATGCCCACCGACTCCAGCTCCTTTTCCAAGAGAGCTCTATAGGATACAGGAAAGAAGGGGGAATAGAGCCAAGAAGAATTGTATTAGCACCCAGACAAAGCTAGTACGAAAAACATAATAATATGGCCTTCTACAAAACAGCCCAATGCTATAATAGATGGAACAAGCTTGTTTTCTGTCCCCAAACCCAAGCATCCAAACTGAAGGAGATACTTACTTAATGTTACATTGCTCAGGAAAGAGACTCTAAAAAAGAGATTCAAAGTGGCTCATTGGTGAGAAGTTGGATTAGAAGGTCTTTGGAGTCCCACTAAACACAACGTCTATGGATCCCACCCCAATGCTGTAGAACTCCAAGTCCAGCAGTCTCCACGTCAGCAGGACTACCGTGCCCAACATTGCCAGCCCAAGCAAATCCCATTCAGCCTCCCATCCATTCCCTGCCACAATACTCACCTCTGCACTTCTCCTTTGGTGGCATCTAGCATCATGATGACAACATCTGATGTTCGAGCCACAGCGATCACTTGGCGCCCACGGCCTTTCCCTAAAGAGCAAAAAACAATGCTTTCAAGGGGTGAAAACCCTGCACAATTAGTTCCTGCCTATCAAAGTGCACCACAGCAGGATATCCCTCGGGGAGATAGGGTGGGATATAACTAAAGTTTATTATTATTTGATACACAACAAGATGAGTCCACAGCAAACAAGATCACTCTGCTGGCTGTTGTATTGGATCACACACTGGACACTTCCCAAGTGTCTAGGACTATGTGACATATCGGCGAATAATGCGTGAAGATCCAAGTAGGGTGGCCTTTTGCAGCTGACACAGTAATTTTGTCTGCGCCTATTGTTTTTAAGTGCAGGCCAATGTCTTTAAGCACTGCACCCAGTGTGCCAATCACCACTGGGACCACCTTGATTGGCTTGTGCCAGAGTCTTTACAGCTCAATCTTTAAATCATCATATCGTGTAAGCTTTTTGAGTTGCTTCTCTTCAATCCTGCTGTCACCTGGGATTTTAACATTGACAATATGTACTTTGTTTTTCCCCACAATCATGAGGTCAGGAGTATTGTGCTCTAAAGCTCTGTCAGTCTGAATTCAGAAGTCCCAGGGTAGTAGTAGTAGTAGTAGTAGTAGTAGTAGTAGTTATTATTGTTATTGTTGTTGTTATTATTATTAGTCTGCTTTCCCCACTGAAAAAGTCAGTGGAAAAACAAACTAGAAACAGATCTACAGAGAATTAGGAATCAAAGCAAGAATAAAAAAGGCTGTTACCTTGTGCTGCTCCTTCAATGATCCCAGGAAGATCTAGAAGCTGGATGTTGGCTCCTTTGTACTGCAAAAGAGAAGTAAACCTTGAAGAGTTGCAGATAGAGAAAGCAAGCTTCTTGGTATTTGGACTTTTAAAGATAGTTCTTAAAAGCAGTCTGTTAGCTCTTTCTGCCACTTTGGATGTAGGGAAGGCGCCTGGATGTAAGTATCTCTATATATAAAACTGCAAATATGTTTGTCTGCATGTATCTATTTTCAAAAATGGTTCCCACTTCCCGTGAACCCCATTGACCAGGGGTCCTCAAACTTTTTAAACAGAGGGCCAGGTCACAGTCCATCAAACTATTGGAGGGCAGGATTATAATTTGGAAAAAAAATGAATTAATTCCTATGCACACTGCACATATCTTATCTGTAGTGCAAAAAAACCCCACTTAAAAAGAATATAATAATTAAAACGAAGAACAATTTTAACAAATATAAACTCTTCTACCTAAGTATATGTGTGTAGTGCATTAGCATGTTTTTGTCACTGGCAGTTCAAAGACATGGTTTATCAGTTTAACTGCTGAGTTACCTGTGTGCCATTACATGAATCACTTTTCATAGGGTTGACTTCTAACAAGGTCATGCCTTTCTTTGACTAGTGGTTTTCAAAAGGTGGTCTCAGGACGTTCAAGGAGATTCACATTTGCCAAAAGGATATGACAATATGTTTATTTTCAAAAAGTTTATGAATGTCATTTTTCACTGTCATTAGTTCAATGGGAAGTGTGGTCCTGCTTTTGGCTGATGAGATAGGATTGTTGTTGTTGTTGTGTGCTTTCAAGTCAATCCAGACTTAGGTTGACCCTGAGCGAGGGCCGGCTAAATGACTTTGGAGGGCCGCATCCGGCCTCATAGACGATTGGGACCTAACATGGCAAGACACCCGTCATGACCAACTAAGTATTTGCGGGGTTTGGGGTGGAATGGACCTGGGATTATGATAGTTCACCCACCTTTTTATGCATGTTCTAATGGTACCATTTATAAATTCCAAAAATGAACAGTGACTTTTTGTAATAAATAATGTTGCAGATTTTGGGGGAAAAAATAACATTTATGAACTTTTTGAAAATAAACATGATGTCATATCCTTTTGGCAAATGTGAATCTCCATGAATGTCCTGGGACCACTCTTGAAAACCACTAGTCAAGGAAAGACATGACCTTGTTAGAAGTCAACCCTATGAAAAGTGATTCATGTAATGGCACACAGGTAACTTAGCTGTTAAACTGATAAACCATGTCTTTGAACTGCCAGGGACAAAAACATGCTATTGCACTATACACACACACACACACACACTTAGCTAGCAGAGTTTTGAAATGTCTCTTTGAAGATGAAGTTGAAATTGCAGTTGCCCAAAACGTATACTCTCCCTTGAAACCTCTTAGTTTAAAGTATGCACTCAGAGACAAAACAAACAAACAAAGTCTTCTTTTAAAATGTAACATATCTTGTGTACTCACATACATCTTGTATTAATTTAGCATACAGGCACATTTATAGATAGGATGTAGTTTCACTGTGTTGAGAACACAGAGCACCATTCTTAATCAATAGTCCAAAGTCTTTAAATATATATCTTATGAAAGTCCAAACTGTATAACTGTACTCACTGCTTCTCAAAGCTAACAAATAGTAAACTTTTCCTGCATAAGTCCAAATACAAACTGCATCCACATCCACTGAGGTCTAAAGCAAACTGCTAATATCAAAGTCCAAAAGCATACTGATAACAAAATGGAGTCTTGAGTCTGAACATGCTCGGTACAATCCCATGTCTGTAGCCCAACCAAAGAGTCACCAAACTGCCAAATCAATATATACATACAATACAGGCTAGCAAATATATACATTAACAAACAAAGAGTGAAGACTTTGAAAGTTGCTATTTCCAACACAAATTACCTAACCTGGGGATTGCTGAGGACCAAAGCTACTTTTAGATAAAAGGGAGAAACACATAAGGGGGCCTTCTTGGTGATGGATCTCAATATTTAGAAACTCCTCCAAACTCAAGGCTAAGATGGTTCCCTCTTTGCTCTCCTTCTGTTGGAAAGGTAAACACTTCTCTATTCAGACAAGCAAAGGTCTTTTCCTGTCCATAGTTTATCATTGTATGTTTTTACATTGTTACAGAATAGTTTCTACTTGTGTTTTCAAGCTTCTTTATCTGCACTGATTTTGGGCTGCATGTAAATTTATTCTGTTATGAGACAACTTGAGAAATAGACAGAATATAAAAATAAATCAAGAAAATGGCACAATCTTATATCAATGTCATTCAGAATATCTGTTCCAGTGTCCTTCCACCCCACAAGGAAAGGACAATAAAAGGAAATGGCATTTACCTCTATGACTCCAGGAATACAGGTCAATGTTGTAAATTCATAAGACGCTGCCTCACTGGCCGTGGAAGTCATTAAACTCAAAAATGTGGACTGAAAGAAGAAGAAACAAGTGTGTTGGTGATAAAGGGGTTCGGATCCCAAAGGAGAAAAATAGTAGATGCCTATAACTGGCAAATAAGCCAAATGATGTGGAGTTTAAGTCATCTAATAAAGTAATGGCTTGAGATTGTGCTCCCAAATATATTATTATGTGTAATCATAACAATATCTGTTATCAAATGCTGACAGTCGGATCAACAACAGA